CCCTGTGTTGATGTCACTTGTTGCTAATAATGATTTTGCAACAGTGACATTATAAGCATTCAGGTTTTTACTCTTCCCTCCTCCTACCAATTAATGTGAGCAATAACAATTGAGAAAGTCTGACTATCAACAGAAGCATTCAGGAGAGAAAAACACAGATGTAAAAATGCACTAGAAAAAAATTGCTGGCATAACTGTGCTTGAGAATATGCCACAGCCTCACTTATGCCTGCAGCTCACAGTGACCTCTCTGTATTAAGGTAATGTCTTTTGTTGGGAGCACACATCAGTAACCAAAAAGCTGTGACAGCAGAGTTGTGCTTAAGAGAAAAGCATTACTTTTTTATCAGTGACAATCAATAGAGCTGATTTAATGCTCTTCCCTTTCTGTGTGATTATCAGTGGAGGCTCATTCCTCATCCTGATCTTTCTTGCTCACCCTGCACCCCATGCTTGCTGCATGAAAAACTCACACTTGTGTACCTCAGCTTTCTCTTCTTCCCCCTCACCTGTTTTTCTTTAAATACAGGGCACCTTTTTAAAAAGGGCTTACTCTTAATACTTCATCTTAATACTGCCCTTTTGTTTTAAATCCCAGTCCTAGAACAATGAAGTAGTTTCTTTTATTCTGGATGAAGCAAGATTGGAGAAAACAGGTTGCACGATAATCCAGGCAAACTAGGTCTGATTCAAGTCTCAGAGACTCTAGGAGGACTGTGGATGTCAGTGATAGCAGCATGAACCAAAGCCCATGTGAACATCATACAAACCTTCACTGTGCTTCCTTCTCAACCAGTGGCATGAAACTGGGCTTTTACTAGTATTTCACACCTTTATTTTCACTGCTGTCTTTAAACCTTACCCTCAGTATAATGGCATGCTTGAAAACTGAGCAGAAAGTCTCGAGGCCACATGCAGGGTGGAAATGACAGTCACAGTTACTTGAAGCATCAGCCAGTGGGTTTTAAAGCTGTGGCACTGAAGGGAAACACATTTCAGTCCCAGAGTTCCCACCCCCAAGGCCGCACATCTCCATTTTTTAATTTTTTGGATCTCAAGAATATTCTCAGACCAACGTATTCAAAATGGAAATGAATAATAACCAGCTTAACAACAGTAATTAATCCCCTGTAAGCACACTTCTGCATGAATCTATTAATTCTCATTTCCAAGTTTTCAGAATTAAAGTGTTTGATATAGTACAGGCTACTTATTCCCTTTAATTAAGCAACCTCCCACTGCTAAAGAGGGTGAAATATTTCATCAGTCAAGAGCATGCACAGCCCTCATGAAGAAAGTTTTTGGGCTTGCCTGACACATAATATAATATGGAGGATCAGCTGAAGTTTCTTGGCTCACCTTAAATCCCACTTGTGGCAGAAGCAGCAGGAGAATTAATTCCCTCCCTTCTTTACAACATGTACCTTGAGAGAGAATTGCACAGTTCAGATTTATATTGAACATCCTCTTTTCCCTTCTTCACAGACTGAAGTGTGGCTCTGATGAACAGCGAAAAGAAATGATGAGTAACATCGCTGAGCATCTGAATGACAGCAAATCACTGACCTATAGGAAACTGTTTTGTAGCACTAAAGCAATCCCACATGAACAAATGTCCATTCATGTAATGAATCTATGTGATTTGCCACTTGGCAACTTTGGCAATAAATTCGAGTAGCAGAGTGATACACTGTCTAAGTAGTGTTGAAAAAGGAAGAGACTAGCTGTGTTTATACTTCTCAGTGCTGCAAAGCCTGTGGAAGAACAGGAGCTCTAACAAGCCAATGGCAGAAAATGCACAGTACCATTTAATTTTTCTAATTCCTTATTTAATTCTCCCTATTTTTGGGAGCATGTATACAGTATAAAGAAGAAATGATATTTATTCATTATCATTCTCATAAAGAGAAAATGGAAACCTACCACTCTGTCAAGAAGGTGGACCTTCACACATTCAAGATAAGCTGAAATCTGTAGAGGCTTTTTAAATGGTGTTTCATAAGTAGGGCCCAAGGTTGTGCTTTAGGCTTCGTACGTGATTGAGAACTCTCACATACTGAGCACACAGATACAAGAGGAGGGCACAACAGTGAAAGCACTGAGGTCATAGGGGGTCATCTGACATGGGTGCCTCACATCCAAACAGGACTGTGACCCTGCTTGCACAGAGGAGCTTAGGACTAGAGGAAAGCAAAAAGGAGAGCTTGGCATGGAGCAAGCACACTGGTCCAAAAGAACACAGGCATTTGAGAAAAGTCACGTTTTTGAGCCCTGAACTGAAAAATGATGATTCCTGTGAGACTTGAAAGTTTTTAGGTCACTTTGAACAAGCTTCCTTTAAGTGTGTGCAATGCAAGTCATTCCTGAAAATCCCAGAGGCCTAACACCATCCCCTTGATGGAATCAGATTACAAGGAAAACTTGGGTCATTCAAGAAACATCAACTAATAACAAAGTCATCTCTAACAGTCCCAGTGGACTGCAGTGTAGGAGGCTGTGAATCACTGAAGACATGGGAAAATGGCAGCAACAGAAGGAAAAAAAAGACCAGTCTGCAGCAGATAAACAGGTGTAACCTCACTAAATTCTTCTGCAAGCAGTTGTCGGGATCTGATCTCTGCCTGGAAACTCACTGCCCTTTTAGGCATCCAA